ACCTCAGATCTAACTTTGTTAAACGATGCCTTTAAGGCGATTTCAAATTTCCCTCCAGCATGCTTTTCAAAGTTCTTTGTAGTCGTGTTTTTTGTTGATAATACTTAAAGCCCCATTGTACTACTTAAAGCTACTTGTCCCCTCTATAAAGCTTACAATGCCTAATCGGTGACCGTTGGTCCCCATGATTTCTTATGTTAAATGTGAGCTTATTTTACGATGGTTGGAGGTCTAATCCCTCTTGGACAAACTTGTACAGAGGGGCTTTAATAATAATAATAATAATAATAATAATATTCGGTTCTTGTATAGCGCAAATCACATTGTATAACATCTCTATGCGCTTCCAAAGAGCTTTGGAAATTATAACCATAGCTTTATATTAGCTCCGGCAGCCGTTATTAGTGCACAGTGCATTTCAAGGAATAATCCTACCAGGTACCCATTTAACTCACCTGGGTCGAGTTATTTATTAATTAAAGCTTATCTGCCGTAGTTTCCAGGAGGGATTAGAGCGCCTTGCAAGGTCACTGGACAGGTGGTTATCTCATCAACTCAGCTCTCAGTTAACATAAGAAAAAGAGGATCATGGGGGACCAATGGTCACCGATTAGGCATTGTTTGTTATATAGAGGGCGCAAGTAGCTACAAGTAGTGCAGTGGGCCTTTAAGAGTATGCAACGATTATGGATGAGCTTCCGAGTCAAGGTGGGTGTAAATTGTGCTTATGTTTGCTTTACGTCCTAAATCATCTTTAAAATATAATGATACCACTACCTCATACAATTGGCCATTTTTTTTACAACAATTTGATTGGAGCAAGTTATGTTAAAGTATGACCACAAGCCAGTGTTGTTTAAGCATTTATCGCAAGTTTTATCAGTTTATCCTGAATGTAGCTGCATATCGAGAATTATGTTAACCCAAAATGTTCTGATCATATATTTTACATTGTTTTAAATCAGATAATACAGTACGGGCCTTATATGTTTTGACTACTCGTATTAAAAGAAAGGAAAACTTTTGCCCCGTGATGACAGAATGATTGATACGGTGTTTTTGTTGATTTGTGTATGTTTTTTCTGATGTTTGCTTTGTTTTGCTCTGCATTCCCTTTTTTTCTTCTGTTTTCATAGTGGCTTCAATTGAGATAATAGGGCCACGTTTAATAACGAATACAACAATCGCAAAGACCCTCGAATAACTCGTTTTAGGCCAGGCCATGTCATAACACAACCGAACATGATTTTTAGAGGCAATGTTTTCAAGTTTCAAGTTTTCAAGTTTTATATTGAAATATCTCTTGAGGTGGTTTCTTAAAAGACTTTGCGACCGTGTTGGTCATGTTTTTCTCTTTTTGTTTAGGTGAACAAACTTTTATCTTTGAATTTATGGTACAGTATGATTTATTGACATTTCTGACTTAGGAATTCCATAAATAATTAGTTTCCAATTATTTTGTCATGCTTTATACAGGTAAATAAATTCATATATTGGGAATAATGATGCAGAATAAATTATTGACATTGCCCAGTATCTTTCTGACTTAAGAATGCCTAAGTGATTCTGTTTTTAATTGTTTTGTTATGATTTGTAAATTCTATAATAACAACATCTCCATTAAAATAAAGTTTAAAAAACTTATTTTCTCCATCTAGATGAAGAGCAGAATATTTATTATGATAGTATTTGTTTCGAAAGTGGATATTGTTTGTGTTCCATACGAATCGTTATTCATATATTTCTTCTAACATTTTTTAATAAGATACATTTGTAATGTGTCATCAATGATGATTGCTTTTTATTAGGTTCCGGAATTCTTCTTGTTCTTGCTCTCACATTTTCTGTCTAATTCGTAGGTTTCATAATCAAATCAACTCATGCAGAACCAACGAATATTAAAAGCAGTAGTTTAAATGACTTTTTGTTCATGGATTTGTACTGATTTTTAACATCTGTCTCTCTCTCTCTGTTGTTTCTTCCTCACTCTATCTTTACCCCTCTCTCTTTTTCTCTTTCTCTTTCTCTCTCTCTTCCTCCTCTCTCCTGTCAGCATCCGCAATGATCACTGTTTCATTTGCACCTTTGTTTATGTTATTTATATTTAATTTAAGTAAATGCGTTAATATATTGTAATACACAGTCGGAGTCACATGCCCCTCTTTTATTAGCTACAGCAGTTGAAGTGATAGGGTATCTTTGTCTCAGATTCTGAAAACAAAATCCTGGATTTAACTCATGCTGCAACGATCATTAGGAGCCCCATGACCTTTACAAGCCGATCGCCAGACTGGTCATTAAGATATTTATGATTGGAAATCGAAATTTCGTTTTCCTAACTTTTTAAAAACATTACAGTCTATTGGCGAAAATGAGTATAGTAAAGCCGGTTACTCAAAGATTTTTAATTTTGTTGAGGCACTTCATGATCGTTTTGAAGCGCAATTGTTTTAGGGCTTTAATATTAAACCTTATCACAGACACTGATAAAACGTAGGGCCTTGCATCTCAGATTTAACATATTGTTAAAAGGAGGCACGTAGCCAGATTTGATGTTGGGGGGGGGGGGGGGGGGGAGGGGGCACATACATGTAATCGATCGAGGCAACAAAGGGGTCTAAAAAGTTCAACCGATCTTGGAAATTTGTTGGGGCACGTGTCCCCCCCCCCCCGTGGCTACCTGCCTGGTTAAAAGATGCCTTCAACATGCTTTACATTTTAGAATGACACATGAAAAATCAAAGCAACAGCAACAAATAGTTGGCATTTTTTTTTGTTACGGTCATTTATTTATTTATTTAAAATGGTTTATTTCATCAAAAAACATTCGCGGCCAGAGAGCCGAATTGCTGTTTTTATTACAAAGTATATATCAGTGACAAAGTAAATATGCATGATAACAGTATGGTAGTTAAATTGCAATTCTTTTTGTACATATGATAGTGCTTCTACGACACCTGCTCCGGCTACAATTACTCCGCGGTAATTCAGTACATTAATCAAACTCCCAATCCCTAGCCCGGTTTATAAGAAACCTACACCGCACCCAGCCTAACACTGAGCAAAAACCCAGCTAACCCCCCCCCCCCAAAAAAAAAAAAAAAAAAAAAAAAACCCAACCCCACATCCCTGATTAAATTAAAGCCTGGAGCAACCGCCGCCAGAGTAAGTATCGGGTCGCCATCGTCGCACATTATGGCAGATTGCTTGGTTCATATACAGAAATCTGAATATTATTACTACATTTGCAATAAAATTATATATTGAACTTAAAAATAAAAAGGAAATTGTTTGAAATTCGAAAGAATTAAATGTTATGGATGGAAAATGCATAGCCAGATGAGTAGTGTATTTTCTTCAATTACAGAATCAGACAACAACATAAGCCAAATCCAGGAATTATAAAATCAAATAGATGCTACAATGAATTAAACAAATTATACATTGTAGGTAGAATGCAGAAAATGTTGTATTTTAACCAATTTAGTAAAAGGTAGAATATTGCATAAAAATGATTTTCTCATAAAACATGGATCGCATACAAACATGGGTAAAAAGTTGTATTAGTCGATATAATGTGCATTATCTTTGGAATTGATAAAAAGTCGAGCAGGTTTTTGAACAATTAAATCTGATTTAGTTAACAAAGTTAAATTCAACAATAACACTATCCAAAAAAGCATTCACATGTCACCCTTTTATTTAGGAAGAAATATCAGAGAAATAGAGAGGGAGAAAGAAGGAAAGTGAGAAAAGTGACAGAGAGGGGAAAGCGAGAGGGAGGGGGAAAGAGAACAAGAGAGAGATAGAGAGAGAGAGAGAGGGAGAGAGAAAGAGAGAGAGAGAGAGACAGAGAGGAGAGGATAGATGGAGAGAGAAAAAACCATTGCAATATTGAGAAAATTGTCAACAAAGGGTTCATATGTTTTCATAGATGCCATTAGAATAACAATTTCTGCCGGTTCGCACTAGAACTCAAAACTCTAAAAACTTGCCCCCTGGGCATTTCGGCCATTGAATGACGAAAAATTCTTGAACTAAAAATGAAAGAATAAGTCCATGATATTCCATATTTATGTCTCAAATGTTTTTTTTTTATAACTATAACTAATTAACTATTCATATATCTGCGAAGTGATAATTCTATATTGTTTATAAAATTAATGGATAAATGTTCATTTTGACTGTACACAGTAAATTGTACCAATTGGTCGAAATGACATAAATTTGGTATCACTCAGTATATCAGAAATTCAAAGACAATATTGCACCAATCAGCACATCTGAAATTCAAACTTAATTTACTGCACCAATCAGTACATCTTCAATCCAAAGATGATATTGCATTCGATCTACCCCCTACGACACCCATCCACCATTTTTTTAATTTCTACCAACTGATCGAAATTAGATAAATTTGGTATGAAAAGATATGGGACTGGTGTCGATTCTGCCCCCCGACCCTTCATAGGTTAATCCCCAAATTGAATACTTGTATTTCAATAGTCCGAATTCGAATCGCATAAATAAGTTGTTGCTAGGTAGGACAAACAAAATAGTTTGCCCTACCTAACAGCATGTGGCATTTACAATTTGCTTACTGGCTATTGAAATACAAATATTTGCAACAGGAGAATTAAATAATTCTTATCAAGGCTTCACAAGGATGAATGCATTACATTTCATTACATTACGATTCTGGCCAGTTTTCGTCAATCTCGTTGTTGTGTTTGGATACACTATGAACATGACGGACAAAGAAAGAGGACAAAATATACAGTTCCTCAGGTAGACAAAAGAACATCCCTTCCCTGCTATTATGTAAAAATGTGTAGAACAGGTTTCACATGCATATTCACCTGTTCTACACATTTTTTTACATTATAGCAGTGAAGGGATGTTCTTTTGTCGTCCACAGCAATTATTGTTGAGGGTAGAATAAGGAACTGTGTATTTTGTCCTCTTTATTTGTCCGTCATGTTCATAGTGATAGTAAATTGTTACAGGTCAATCCAAGGAAAGTTCAACCCGAATCTCTTTCTCAGTTCCCGATTGTGCGGGCGATAGAAAGCGTAAAACTTTTGGACAAGACCATCGGCAATCTCGGGGTGTTTCCTACCTTTCTCCGAGTTGAGACAATTCACATCGGGTCTGCTCTCAATATTTGCACAATAAAAATGTTTCTTTTTGTTATACTTAAAGTGAAATCTTTGGAAAAATGGCGGCAGCTCCAAGAAGCGTTCCACTTTGACCAAAATTGGAAAAGGGTCTTTACTGAAGGCGTTACCGTCTATGATCAGAACCCGTTCCTCATGTATTTGCTGGTACAAGGATTGTAAATCTATGGCATACAATCCAAGACGAACGATGGATGCGAAAGAGTTCACATGGCCAAATTCGTCCAGTACGGTAGCGTTCAGAGTGCCCTTAAAACCCTCGAGTTGTTCGAACTTTTTTCGCTCTTCCCCATGAAAGCGATCAACGATGGTTGACGTATGCACGAAATCAGACACAAGGCGTTGCACGGGATCGCGGAGCGTCAAAATAAGTTTGATATCAGCGGGGAGATGGTTCCGCAACATCAGCAACAACTGTGGCTGCATGTCGTTAAAGAGACCTGGGTAACCCGTGACAGACATTTGTATAGAGGATGTCATGCGAAAAGTCTCCCTCCATTCGGCCATTGTTGCATCAGTGATGTCCGGACCAGGTTGGATAGACGTTGAGAACGAAACCTTGGGGTGAAGTCCAAGATACCTAGCCATTGCGGTTGTCCCGCCTTTCTTTACACCAATGACAAGCGCATGTGGCATTCGCTTTTTGCAGTTCCTGGCGCTAAGGTCCGCTGGAGGCAGTAGTTCTTCAGGGTGGTATCTTAGAAACCTGTAGCAGGTAGTTTGGTTGCCCTTGGACAATCCTTGATGATCTCGCCTCCGGAGGAAAGGCGATAGGAACCTGAGCGAGGAAAAGCTGTCTTCGTCATGACCTCTCCAGTCGTTCTCTTCGGCAGGGTTATGCAGCAATATGATAAGCAGCATTATGGTGAGAAAGCAACTGATTGTTACTAGGGTGTTTCTCTGAACTCTTTTTATAGTGCTTGGGGATCTTGAAAAAATGCCTGCTTAAAACTACTTATTGGCACACCACGGTTCGACCTTTTCTTGTCATTCAAACCTGTGTGGGACTGCTTTGCACGTGAGTTGAGATTAGAAGCCTGATACTTAAGCAATCTCAAAACTTAAATATAAATCTTTCTGGATAGATCTAATAAAATCTTCTCAGATCGGTCTGATCAGTCTTCGAGAATATGATGGCTTTCTTACTGAATCTAGACCATACCTGTTCCCACGAATGACAACAAATATATTATCGGTGTCCTCTTAGATGCAGTGTCGGCATCTGCAATCCTATAACACTGGTTGCGTTAACATACACTTAGCTTGTCTTCGAAAAGATTTTCAGCCTCTGAAAAAGACAAAGTGAGAGAAAGGTAGAGAGAGAGAGCGGGACTTTTATTGAATGTTTTATGCGGTTCGACTTTTGCTCCTGCGACATTTAATCCTGCATCTCTACGTCAAAGGTTTGGGGTGAGGATTGTAATTGAGTTTTAAGGTTCTGTTTAGGAATGTTGGGATTGGTAAGGTCCAGTATTTGATTTAGATTGAAGTCTGGAATTCGGTTATGAGTGGTTAGTGTACAAGTTGCCGCCAGGGCATGTGTCATACTCGACCAGATTCTGGTCGTTTTAAATATTTTTTATTTGAGTGCAAATTCACCATTCCACACGAATTCACCTACCCGAAAGGATTTATCAATCGTTCGTAATTCTGCTGTACATGTATAGCTAGTAGGGCGCTTTAGTAACGATACGGAAGGCAAAGAGGACGGGAGAATTCACTCAACCGAGATAAAAAAAAATGTACGCAGTTCGAATTCTGTCTATTGAAATAATATTATTCTTAGCAGGTGAATGAAATAATTTGTATTGAGGCACTTCAAAAAGACTTATGCATTAAATTTGGTTACATTACGAAAATGGTCTATTGTACGGCGATACAACTCTTCCGTCGAGTTTAGGGGAACGAACGCTATTAGGGACTTTTAGATTTGCACGTTAACAGCTTTGACTGCAACGTGTGACGTCATTTTAAGGCACTGCGCATGCTTCACGTCGTCTCAGTCGGCGATCGAGAATGTGTCAACCTTGATTTTCCTAAATCTAGTACCGGTACTAGTATTTGCCGCGTCCGCATAAAATATACAGTTCCTCAGGTAGACAAAGGAACATCCCTTCCCTGCTATTATGTAAAAATGTGTAGAACAGGTGTCACATGCATATTCACCTGTTCTACACATTTTTACAAATAGCAGTGGAGGGATGTTTTACCCCAGGAATAGGCCATTTTCGTAATGTAACCAAATTTAATGCATAGGTCTTTGTGTAGTGCCTCAATACAAATTATGTCATTCACCTGATGAGAATAATAGTATTTCAATAGACAGAATCCGAACTGCATACTTAAGTTGTTGCCAGGTTGGACAAACATGATGGCTTGGCCTACCAAGCAACAGTTAATATATGCAGTTGCATTCTGACTATTGACTATTCTGACTATCTCTGCGATTGCGTTCACAGGATCAGGCAAATAAGGACTTTTAGATTGAGTGAACGAGAACACGACGAACGCCGACTGTTGATGCGTGTCAACGTACTTAACTGCCCATGTTGACTACAATTAGAAATCTTTTAGATTGCACTCGACGATATACATGCATGCAGGAAATAACACTATGAACATCACGGACAAAGAAAGAGGACAAAATATACAGTTCCTCATTCTACCCTCAACAAAAGAACATCCCTTCACTGCTATTAATATGTAAAAATGTGTAGAACAGGTGAATATACATGTGACACCTGTTCTACACATTTTTTACATAGCAGGGAAGGGATGTTCCTTTGTCTACCAGAGGAACTGTATATTTTATGCTCACGCGGCTTACTAGTACCTTGAGCGTGTAACTGCGCTATATAAATATCAATATGTATGTATGTGTATGTACTAGATTTAGGAAAATCAAGGTTGACGCATTCTCGATCGCCGACTGAGACGACGTAACGCATGCGCAGTGCCTTAAAACGACGCCACACGTTGCAGTCAAAGCTGTTGACGTGCAAATCTAAAAGTCCCTAATAACCTGTATCTAAGCTCATGAATAAATAAATTAAAATGATAAATTCACCAATAACTCAAATTCACCAATATCTAAACTAATCTTTAACTAAGCTGATGGAAAAATTAAAATAATCAATTCACCAATAACTGTAATAAGCTATAACTAAGTTCATGAATAAATGAAAATGATAAATTCACCAATAACTCAAATTTACCAAGAACTAAAATAATTGGGATTTGGGTATTAATTCGGTCTTTGCAGATCAAAAAAACATCCCTAACAAAATTAATCATGCCACACATTTCAAATATAAAATATCAACGAACATTTGTGCGCGCGTGTGTGTGTGTGTCACTTTTTCCTGCAAAAAGCATATGCAATGCATTTTATTTGATACATTCAATTCATTCTCTTACTCAGCCAATCCCAACATAATACATACTGTATGCATCACTTGTGCGCAATTCGATTTTTGCACTCTCGCAAACAATGCCTCCTGTTCATCCAAGCGTGAACACATACCACACAAAAATGATACCAAACGATTATGGATAAAATACTCTTTTATAAGATGTATAACTATTTATCGTTCATAGATGATTTTTAAAATAATTAGCATTTTACTAGGTGTAAAGTTTTTTTTGACTCACACTGTATAGGAAAAACAAGGTAAGGAAATTGGCCTCTAGTTAATTCCTTGGAAGTCTTTGCGATCGTATGATATCGATCATCTTTTCGGCGATTATTTACCTTGCGTCAATCTTGTTGGTGTCTATGTCCTACAAATGACATCAATGTCGGATCATGGATGATTATATCAGTGGTCGGTGAGGTACAGTCCGGCGGTGTGGTCTTCGCTCGGTTCCAATTCTGGAGAGATGTAAACGATGGATTTAATCTTAAATGCTTTATTTTTTTTACAAGTAGATTTAACAGTAGTCACAAGAGAAACAGAAAGTTCACGATTTAATTGTATTAATATGTTTAACAGATTTTCAATTAGACTCCTCAGCTAATTAATAGGAAGAATTTAATTGTATAGTAGCCCAACTCAAGATACGATTCTGTTAGTAATAAGCTATCAAGTCTTAGCAGTTATTTCCCTTGTTGGGCTCTAGATCTGTTTTATTGAGACATGCATACATGAATACTGCACAGTGTAGAACACACGTGAGCATGTTTTTTTTTTTTTACTACTCCTCCTCGTGAGCTTTTTCTATTACTAGACCTTCGGAAAACAACAACAACTCTGTCTCAGGCCTTTACCTATAAAACAGACAAAAAGTATCAAGCGAAGTAATCATTTAAACCAATTAAACCCTGTCTAAGCCATTCACTTAATGAATACAAAGCTGGAGTAACAACATGAATTTAGATTCTCATTAAAAAAATAGACCCAACAAACATGCTTACCATGACCTAGTAGTACTAGTACTGTAGGTTGAACGCATCCATGTTGAATGAAGAACGAATAGATAGTTGTACAAGCATGGACGCACTTCTACCGATTTTGGCCTGTTGTAGGAAATATTGTATGAGGGTTTCAATGGCACAAAGCAATGATTTAAGAAAGGCTGGGAGCTTTAATTGTTAATCCCGCAAAGCACGGTTTGGCTCTTAAAATATGCATACGCCTATTTTGGCCTTGTCCAGAAACTGGCCAGTTCTTTTCCCCCTATCTCTTAAGAAATTGTCCTTACATTTGCTGCAAGGCGCCGAAGATGGCGTTACCAACAAACAAAAAGTGTATAGAGTGATAGAAAGACAATGATTGAAATGAAAAGATATAGGGAAAGGAATGGAAGAATGATGAATGAAACATACACATACAAAACATCTCAAAACATCTCCCTTGCGTAGACGCCTGTGTATTTGTATTAACTTCATACTACGGTCACAAAGATTCTTACGAACGATACGTTCGTACGAATCTCCCTGTTGTTTTTAATTTTCTTTCTGAATTTCCATTGTCTGAAATTCGTTCGTTCGGCGTTCGTAGCAGTTCGAAATGACATTTGTGACCGAGGAATTGTGGAAAGGTGTCAAAATTAGAGTCTGTGCCTGCAGACTACCAACCACCACCAACATCACCAAATAGCCCAACAGCCGTCATTATCCCAACACCACGACAAATATACTTAAGGGGCATCATATTGGAAAACCCCACTTTTGTTTGTGTGTTGCAATCCAGTTTAACGACACACGACTCGCACGTAGTAGTTAAAGGAACACTGTCCTACTTGTAGCTAATTGCTCCCTCTATATAGAAAACTTCCCCAATCGGTGCCTGTTGGTCCCCCATGGTCCTCCTTTTCTTATGTTAAATGAGAGCTGAGTTAATGAGATAGCCACCTGTCACAGTGACCTCGCTGGCTCGCTGGGTGCCCTTATCCCTTTTGGCTGAAGTAGTAAAGCCTGCCTTTAAAGGGCCCATGACATCGACATACAAGTGTATTCCTGTTGATGTGCAGTCCTGTATACATCTCATATTTTGATATGTAAACTTCTGAATTTGTTTCATAGATTTTTAAATATTTTCCCCTTGTGACATCATCTGTCAGTCACCAATAAGTTAACTTGAGAAAGTGCGGGTATGTTTCTTTGCCGAAGTCAACCACCTGTCAAAATACGTAATACAATAGCAACATATACGTTGCTATGTCAAACATTCTGTAGCATCCCCAGGAAGACAAAGGCAATGATAATGTATTTTACATATGTATGAAAACATGCAATTCTATTACGAACGTGTGCTAAGATGGGGGAAATAACATACCATTGTCTATTCTAGAATATTAGTTTAGTCTGAAATGTTGACATGAATACATATTAGCCGCCCATCCACCTCTCCCACCCCAAA